GAGTCCTTTTGAGTCCTCTCCGGCTTGCAGACCCGGTGTGGGGTGATGCTGTCCCTTTTGTAGGTACCTCTGGAAGACCTCTGGGGAAGGGGTGGCTTTTGTCTGTGGTTGTTTGCCTGCTGGCATCCAGGAGCCCCGAGCAATAGTTCACCTACTCTGCCAAAAAAAAAAAAAGGAAAAAGGGAGAAAATCAGCAGCAACAAAAGGTCCGCAGCTTGCAGGAGGCCCCGAGCTCATTGCTGGAGCTCCCTGTTGGGGCAGCACCTCATTAGTAACCCAGCCATGTCCCCGCACAGCTGCCTCCACGCATTTCGGTGCTGGCGTCACCCCCTGGCAGCATCAGCACTTTTGGAGGGCACCCAAAGCAGATGGGCCAGGAGCCCCAGCCTCGGGGACAGGGACTGGGTTTGGGACACGTGTCCTCTGCGTGCTGCCTGCACGGCTGCTTTGTCACACACTCCTCTGAGACGGAAGATGCTGTAGATGTGCAGAGCCCCGTTGTTAGCAGAGACAATAGGAGGATAAATAGAAAGGCTGGATGAGCCGAGCAGGGGAGCAGGGGACTTGGAAAGGTGCTGGTGCACTGCTGCATTGCAGAGAGAGAAAGACTTTTGCAGACACGCCGTCTCTGCTTGCTGCATTGTGACCTGCTGCTCTGCACCAGCATCTCCCAGGGCTGGGGCTGCTCCGTGCCCGGCTCTGTGCCCCCCAGCACACTGCAGGGGGGGTCCGGCTCCATCCCTCCCTCCCCAGTCTGCTTTCCTCCTGTTTCTTTGGCATTTGCCATGAAGGCAGCGTACTGGGAGTTGTTTGCAGCATTGAATCCCGGGCAATGAACCAAGGCAGATCTTTCCGAGCCTGGTATATTATTATTAATGTAATTAGCGTGAATCATTTGCATGTATAAACTTTCAATTGAGGAGATCAGGTACTTTACAAACATGCATTAACTCTCCCTCCCTGGGAAGGAGGTGCCAGCTTTGTTCAAACCTTGCAGAGGGCAGAACTGAAGGGCAGGGATGTGCTGCAGGTTGGTGCGAGCAGAGGAAGGGCGGCACCTCAGGGCTCCAACTGCACCAACCAAAATGAAACTTGGGAGGGGAAACACAAAAGGTTTTTATTTTCCACTTCTGAGCGCTGCTTTTGAGCACCTCTGCAAGAGGCTTTGTGGTGGAAGCTGATCTTAAGGCACCCACAGCCTTTGGGGATTGCTGGGGGGCTGGAGGTGGGGACCCCCCATTACTGCTGTGTTCATTGCTGGGTCGGGTCCCTTTGCTCAGGAGGTGGCAGCCAAATTTTGGCTGCCCCCCACAGCAGAAGCAGCACAGGGAAATCTATGAGAGCAGTGGGACCGTGCTGGAATGGGATTGAGCTGTTCACAGCCCAGCCTTTAATTAATCATAATAAATAACAATAAAATGTGATAATCACAGAAATAAATCTAAGATGTGAAGCTCTGCCTCGGGCGGAGAGCTGGTTTTGTTGATCATGTATAGCACAGTAGTGATGCTGGAATGGGAGGTGCTGGGGGTCGGTCCAGGGGTGGCTTTGGAATCCAGAGCTGCCTGAAAACTGCAGAATCGGACTGGAAATTGCTGGATTAGGCTGGGAATGACCAAATCAGACTGGGAAACAAAAAAAAAAGCAAAAGCCATCGGGGCTGCTGAGTGATGGTGCCACGGCGCAACACGTGTGAGGCTCCATCAAGTGGTGAGGATGTGGGCAGGGGGTTTCTGCAGGGTGGGTGCTGAGACCCCATCCCTGTCTCTGCACCCCGGGATGGAGCTGGTGTCCTGATCATTGCCATGAAAACAGCAATCAGGTTGCTAATTTTACCGAGCTCTTTTCAGTTCTAATTAGCATTATTCATTTCTTATGTGTCCTGCTGGGTTGAGACAATCTGTGCTCTCCAGCCCAGCCCTCTGAAACACCAGCGAGCTGCACAGGAGGCAACAAAAAATGTTGTGTGCCAATTACTACACTTCAGTAATTAAAAACCTCCTTCCTCCCGCTGCCAGGCCACCCCCTCTCCAACATCCCTGTGTGCAAACTCGAGAAAGCAAAGAGGAATTTGGGCAGCCATCATTGCCTGTGCAATCTGTGCCAAAAGCACGGGGAGGTGCTGGGGGCTGTATGAAGCATGGCATGAGGGCAGGGCTCCCAGCCTGCGTGCTGTGGTGGTTGTAGCCTTGATACATGATGGTGGGATGCTGGGATGGAGGTTGGTTGGGGTTCTGGTGGACCGTGGGGTGGTTGGCCAAGCCCAGATGCTTTAGGAGATGTCGAATTGTGTCAGTAACATTTCCATTTCCCATAGGGGAAACAAAGAGGGAGAAGGTTCGTTGCTCTGCATCTTTTTGGAGGAGAAGGCCTTGCTTTCTGAGCAGGAACGTAGCTGGGATTAAGGAACTTGAGAAAGAAAATGAGCTCATTGGAGCTTAAATATTTTGACATCTTTTTTGGAGGCCACCTCTGTGTTCCGGCCTGCCTGGGGCCTTAGAATCGTAGGATGGCTCAGGTTGGAAGGAACACAACAGATAATCCTGTTCCAGTGTCTCTGCCTTCCCTCCCCATGGCAGGGCAGGCGGAGCATCCATCGGTCTGCAGCATCTCTGGGCATCACTGCATGCCAGGCGTGGGGCGGAGGGAGCGCGGCGGTGCCTCTGCTGCCCACCTGTGCCTGGAGCTCTGATCCCAGCCCCTGCCAAAGGCTTAACGCTCGGCTGCCCCGGGATGGAAGGGAGCAGATGGAGGGGTGGGAGAGCTGCGAGGAGGGGGCGAGCCACGGGAACCCCAGTGCTTGTGCATGGAGGAGTGGGCTGGAAGGGGCGCAACGGGGAGGCTGTATCCTGCCCTGCAGCCCTGGTTCCTGTCATATTGAAGTCATTTGCTTGTCCTGGCCTTACCTGCACCGGGAGGGGAAGGGAGCCTTCCTCACGGCAGCCAGCCCGGAAATAGAGCCTGGTACCTGCAGCTTACAGCACTTTGTCCCCAGGGCTGTGCTGCTGCGTATGGCACAGGTTTGGCTCGGTAGCTTGGAGAAGGAGGAAAGAAAATAAAATAACAAGTTGAAGCTTGCCGATCCCAGGGACAGAGGAGCGTGTCTGGGTGATAAGAAGAGATTGCGACCGGGTGCTGTGAAGGGCGACAGCACTTATTTCACTGTTGCCTCATGCGTTACCTGAGCCCCGTTGCTTCTCAAAAGCACTTAAATGCCCATATGATAGAGGGAATGCTTGGATTACACACTGTCTGGCTCCATTATTATCCAGGGATCTCCAAACTGATGCATTTCACAAAAAAAAAAAAAAAAAAAAAAAAAAAGGCATGGAGGAGGAGAGAGGGAAGATATATATGGTTAGCTCAGGCTGCTTATGAGTCCTCAGTGATGATCTCTGCAAAAGAGGTCAGTCTGAGGGATTCATGCTGCACAGGGCTTCCCATCACCCAGAAATGCAGCTTTAGCAGAGGGCTGGACACCCCTTTTCTCATGTGGAAGCACTGCAGGAGCCCGTTGCATTGCACTGGGATGGGCAGGCCAGAGCCAGAGAGCAAATCCGTACATGTGTTTTATTCAGACCCCGATGGTCTAAGCTGCCAGCACTGAGATCCAGAGCCCAGTATAATAAAGCCATCCTTTGGGGTGAAGTCCCACATATTACTCAACTTGAGAAACTCAATTCTAAGGTTTCACTCAAGTTGTAAAGCAGCTGAGAGCAAGCAAGAGCAGAGTTCTTGGTGTTCAGCCCAGGCTGAATCTATCACTTTTTTTTTATGAAGATAATAAAAATCTGCTTGCATTTAATTTATTATTATCGTCATATCATTATGGAACAGCAGTGAAATAGTTTAATTTATCAGATGTTTTTCACAGCAGAGAGGGAGGACAGTCTGACTGCTGGGGTAGCAAGTCCTCAGGGTCCTCGGGGTCCAGATGTCCCCCATCACCTTGGGCAGTCCTCCTCCATGGGTGCTCAAATCTCCTTCCTCCAGGCGTTGGGTGTTTGGGTCGGGGTGGTTTTCCAGCTCCTTCTGCAGCTGGAGGGATGGAGGAGGATGGAGGAGAGGAGGCGGTTTGTCCCCCGGGTGTCTGCTGGCAGAGCTGAGCGCCGCTAGCTCTCACGACCGCGCGCTTCTCTGCATCTCCCTCCCACACCTATAGAATGGGAATAATGGCATCGCCCACCTCCTGGGGAGAGTCGGGACATGGAGAAGAACTGGAGGTGGTGTGGCTCTTCTTGTAAACACTCTGCAAGTCCGCGTGAGACACACAAACCCTCGAGGAGGAGGGGAGCAGCAGCAGCGTGAAGAGGAGGAGGTGGGGGGATCGTGCCCCACCGAGGCCAACTCCAGCTTCATTGCACACAAGGGGGGGGCACATCTTGCAGCTTCACAGAATCACAGAATCATAGAATTGTAGGGGTTGGAAGGGACCTCCTTGTTGCCTGCCTGAAGTTCCCCTTTACCCAGCTTCCCATGATAAGAGTTAGGCTGTTTCCATGGGGTGCTGCCTTCCTTTGCTGCCCTGCAGGCTGCTGGGAGCCTCTGGTGCCTCCAAAGTTAATTTGCATCGCAGCCAGTGCACAAATAATGGAGTAGAATGGAGAGAATATAAACAGTGGAGCTTAGGCTGAGTGGTTTTATGGAAGGACATTATCCGCCATCGCTGGCATGCAGCAAAGCCCGACTTGGTTCTGTAATCTCCAGTTTGCTTTAGTGGTTTGGGCAACAGGGAGATGCCTGTGTCTTCCCAAAAGGTTTGGGGTCAGCAAGGAGGTTTGAGGCAAGGACCAAATGGAAATGTGGGGGCTGTAGGTTGTACAATGGATGGGCTGTGATCTGCAATAACTGTGAAGCTGTCGGGGAAAGCTCTTGAGCCAGCTTAGTTGGCTATCAGTGCCTTGAGCAGAGTGCTGGGTGCCCAGAACTTCCAAAAAGGGTGAGGAGTGGGGCTGGGAAAGGGTGATGGCAGCATGCTAACAGGTCTGCTCTGCCCACAGGTGCTCCGTGGACAACCGCGTCACCCGCGTGGCCTGGCTGAACCGCAGCAGCATCCTCTATGCCGGCAATGACAAGTGGTGCTTGGACCCGAGGGTGGTGCTCCTGGCCAACACCAAAACCCAGTACAGCATCCAGATCCACAACGTGGATGTGTACGATGAGGGGCCCTACACCTGCTCTGTGCAGACAGACAATCACCCCAAGACGTCGCGCGTCCACCTCATCGTGCAAGGTAAGGGGAGGGGGCTTTGAGGGGGGGTGGGCTCAGCGCTTTGACTTCCTGCTCTCTTTTGCCGTGGGGTCTTCCCCTCCTATTGCTCCTGCTTGGAAGACAGCTTGGTGCAACCGTAGGTGATCCAGGATTGAGAGTCCACATGAGGTTGGGCAGCGCTTGAGTGTGGCAATGTGCTGACAGGTGGACTTGACGACCTTAGTGGTCTTTTCTAACCTTAATAATTCTATGACGTAAGCCAACTTACTTGTAGCAGTCATGGGACTCTGGTACAGGCATCTCTGCCTCCCAAAATAATCACTGCTAAACTCACATTGCTGGTTTTTTGTTGTATTTTGATGCTTGCTTTTTTTTTTTTTTTTTTCCCCAATGCTGGAGGCAATGCTTAAAGTAAAATTTGTGTTGGGGGAAAAGAAAGAGCAAGCAGATTTGTGTACTGTGCGGGGGTGTGTGTGTGCCTAGCAACAATATGTGTTTGTGTGTTAAAACTCCTGCAAGGAGGAGGAGGGATGGCGTGGGGCGATTCAGCATGTGGTAACCCAGCACATCTCCTTGGGGCTGCCAACCCCAGAGGTGTGTGTGAGCCCATGGGCCCACAGCAGGGAGAGGACGGGTACAGCTCTGCAGGTGTAGGGACACGCTGAGTAAGGGACTGCTGGCATGGAGACAGCCTATGGGGATCAATGGAGAATTTCTGATCCCTTGCTAGCAGCCCTTTTTTTCCTCCTGCCTGCTTCTTCTGTGATTTGGCCAGAAGCCCTCTTAGCATGACACACCAACTCGAGTATTGGAATCTCATCTCGGGCTAATTTTCGAATGCTGATGGATGTATTGATCTGGAAACAAGCTGGGTTAAAAAGGCATTGGTCTTGTACACAGAGCTGGGTTGAGCTAATCCGCCGTCAATATGCCAGGCCCGAGCATAATTGACAGCCTAATGAATAGAATGGGGGGGAAAAACCCACACCCAACCTTCCCCCCCTCCTTCCCCTTCCGTTTTGTCTTTCCTCTTCGAGCAATCAAGCAAACTAAACACAGCCGGACTTTCTCCATCTCCATTAACCACGGAGAGAAAGCGGATGTGTTGCCATCCTGGGTCTTTGCTGTTTATCTTGCAATCTGTTATTACCTGCCTGCATTTCTTAAGCCAAAGTCGATCACCCGCAAGTTCCCATCACCAGGGTGATGCAATTTACATTGGCTCCCTTATTCCAGTGTGCTGACCGGTTTCCCGTATCACCAGACACCTAGGCTCATCCCTCCTGTCTTGCTGCAGCATTAGGAAGAGATGTTTGGATACAGGAGGAAAAGGTCACATCTTAATTCCCAGCAGTGGTTTGAGCAGAGGACTCAGTGATGGTCTCAGCCCTAGAACGTGCTGCACATCCTTCCTGCTGCTGGAGGAAATGCTGGCTCTTGGAAGCAAGGCCCCTCATTTCAAGAGTTATTGCTTGGCTTGCTCAGCCATCTCTTGGGTGGAATGAGGCAGTAGTGTGTTCTGCAGCAGGGTGCATGGAGGTGAGCCTCCTCAAAGGGAGGATTGCTGGAGTGACCCCAATTAAAGACGAGTGCATCCCTCCTGCCCCCAGGTGTGAGGGGATGTCCGTATGGAGAGAGCTTGGAGCTCATCATCCCTCATGGAGCTTCTGGATGGAGTGGGTCTGTGGGGGAAAGAACAAAAAGCAGAAGAGGGATGGGGGTGGGAAAAGGAGCTTTCTGTAGGACATGAGCGTTGGAAATGGTCCTTTGTGGCAGCAGGGGGAGAGGAAACTGAAAGCCATTGGGAACCCGAGGATGGCTGCGCTGCAGCAAGGGAAACGCCATGCCTTTATTTCTAGGTTGACTCTATTGATGGCTGAGATCCCAAAATAGGTGGGCAGAAGGCACCTCCAGAGCTAATTTAGCCTGTCCCCCTGCAACGAGGCAGGGACAGCGCTGGCAAACATTTGTGAGAGCCATTCTTGAAAATCTCTAACGAAGCAGATTCTGCCATCTCCCCAGACAATCCATTCTACTGCTCTGCTACATTTATAATTAGGAAATGTATGGCTATGGCTAATATCTAACTTGAACCTTCTTTGTTGCAAATCAAGTGGAGTTTTTCTCATCCTATTCCCAGCGGATGTGGAGAACAATTGATCAATGTCCTCTTTGTTACAACCTTTTGCTTTTGGGAAGGTTGTTATCTTGTTGCCCCTTAGCCACCTGCTTTCTGATCCCACTGGAGCCCTCTTTCTCCCACCTTTCGTTGTTGGTCAGGCTTTCAGAAACTCGTCACTCTTGAAATCCTTCTCCTGAAAGGCAAAAGGTGATGGCTGCTGATCCAGGAATAGCAGATCACTGCATCTCCCCCTCCCATTGCCAACGAGCCTCAGCACTAATATGGGACAAATGAGCCCAGGAAGGAGACAACAGCCCTGTGGCTCTGAATGCATCAAAGTTTGGACCTGCTATTTTGGGGACTGTTTTAAGTGAGGTCAGGCTGGGTGTCGGTGATGTGAAATTGATGTGAGGCAGCAACATCGCTGCAAAAGGTGCAAAGTGCAAGGAAGGAGCTCCCAGCCACCTCCTGCCTGTTTGGCGTGGAGCCGAAAATGAACCTTTGGGGCAGAGCCTGTGTTGTCTGCAGTGTCTGGGAGGTGGCCCCTGCACATCCCAGTGCTTCCTCATGGATTTCTTGTCAGGAGGGGCTGCAGCTGCAGGAGCACAGAGCAGGGAAGCGTGGCTGTCCTGTTTTCAGCAGTGTGCTCAGACTCTGAGGGCACATGTGGGGTTTGGGGTGAAGATGGGGAGAAGCGCCCAGCAAAGCGTGCTGGTGTTATTGGCACAGCTGCACAGGGAGCGGTGGGCTCAGCATCCCCAGGGGTGTTAAAGAGCAGCAGAGATGTGGCACTGGGGGAGGCGGTCAGTGGGCATGATGGGGTTGGACGTGGTGATCCTTCTCCAACCTGAATGATCCTGTGAGTGGGATTCTGTGAGTGAGCTCTGTGCGTAGAGAGATGCGGAAACCCAGGGCAGAGAAGAAGGCTTCAGTTTGGCCCCATTGACCTTTGAAGAGTAATGCTCTTCTCTCCTCCTTCCCCACGTGGGTTTATTTAACACACAGCTCCTTCTCCCTCTCCCCAGGGGCACTCCAGCTATTTAAGCCTCTGTTCTCCAGGTCGCTGGGCTGAAAAGCGAGAGGAGAGGAGGGAGGAGGATGGTGTCTGGAAAGCTCTTATTTGTATTGATAATAAGCCGTCTCCGACGCGCGCCTGCACAACACTCCCACTGCCTTGTAAGATGCATTATGGAAAGTTGGCCTTATCTCAGTGCTGGAAATGGACTTGGTGAAGGAGGCACGGGTGCTGCCGGAGCTTAATCTCACTTAGACACGCGAATTTGCATGATAGAAAATGGTGGAATTTTAGTGCTTAGAAAGAAAGCAGGGAAAAAAAAAAATAAAAAGGGAATGCAACTGGGGGATATTAGCACTTTCCGTTGCTTTATCACTTTCTTTGCCCCTATCTGGCTCTTTCTTTTGTCACCGGTGCAAGTAATCACCCCTCCCCTTTTGTTTGGTGTAAATGAGTTTTCCCACTCCTTCCTGTGTTGGGCTTAATCTGCAAATCCCTGCTTTCATATGGTAACTAATTACCAGCTTGCTGGAGTTGGGGGCAGTGGGCACAAGTGACACAGGGCTGCTCTGGGGTGGGAGCTGGCACTGGGTTGGCACCTCGACCCAAGCATCACTGCCACCCCATAGCATCACTGCCAAGGTGTGTTCTGCAGTGATAAAGCATCTGATGGGGCTCACAGCCCCACCCCGGCTTTGTTTCAAGCCCTGAACTCTGCCCAATTAATTTTTCTTTGATGCAATAAGCTCCTTTGGCTCAAGGGAGGTCGGGAATAACTTTTTGAGGGCACTGCTGCTGCCTGCCTGGCATGTGAGCAAGGAAGGGCTCACACAGTAATGCAGGAGGATCAGACCCTGCAGCTGTTATTGCTATTGTGCAAAGGCAGCTTGCAGGGAAAACAAGGTGGATAAGGATGATGAGGGCTGGGCACTGGGTCTGGTCACTTCTGATGGTGCAAGAAGTGGGATTTTGGAGGAGTTTAACCCTCAGGTTGAACCCAAGTGTCTGGGTACCCACTTTGGGGCTGGGCAGGCAGTCCCAGCCCCCAAGAGTCACTTGACCCCTTTGCAAATCAGTTTAACATCTGCAAGGCAGAGATAATAATTGTCACCTACTTCACAGGGGGGTTGATGAGGATTAATTTGGTAATGTCGACAGAGGTCTTTGAAGATGGAATGCGCTATCTGAGAGCTGAGCATTATTATTAATTAGCAATTATAGCGTGGGGCAGGAGGGGGGAAAACAGACTCTGGAACTTGCACCAAGCACTTGTCCCTGCTCTCAATGCAGTTTCAGGCTCTCCTGCTGCTAGAGGGACCAACTGTGCTGGTCTCCACTGGGTGCATGTCCTGCAGTGCATCTTCCTTCCTGGGGACACTGGCACAGGGAATAGTGGGAGGGATGGGGAGGTGAATGGTATTTCAGGTATGGCCAGAAGCAAACAAATGCCCAGTAAAGAATGTCATTGCTCCCATACAGAGAGAATTGGCAGGAGACTGAAGTGAGGGGAAGGGAAGGGTAGTGACTCATAGGACACGGACCGTTTTCATTTCCTGCGTGCTTTTATGCCTCACGTGCATCACAGCTGCGGGTAGTTTCTCTGCTTTTGTCCCCTGGTGAACTGCTAATACTGGAATCCAGCAGGTTCCTCTAAGCAGTGCAAATGCAGACCCTGCACCGCAGTGCTGTGACATCCCAGGTATGTGGGGGCATGCAGTGATCTCATCGGGGCCATTCCCACCTCCCAGCACCCTGTAGTTCCCTTTATTTCCATGCCTCCCAGCATCAGCCGTGCGTGCTTTGGTTGTGGCAAGGCGAGCTCAGTGCAACTCTTTGCTACTCCCACAGAGACACACAGGTCACCCTCGGGTCACTCCTCTCTGC